CAGAGCGAATATTTTTTTGTCGGTTTTCGCCAGTTGCCATTGCAGTTGAGTACCAACCACGCAACCAACTAACCGAAGATAAATAAAACAGGGATAGTAAGCATTAAATACTCTCTCGTATTTGTAAACTACGTTTCTTCATTTGATTGCCTCTTGCTACTGCCATGTCATCTAGTTATCAGATAGAAAAAAATTTTTCTTAATATAAAATAGTTTTAAATATGTAAATTCTTCTCGTCACGTTTTAAAGAGTAACTGTCAAAAGGTATTAAAGAAATTATATTCCTGAAATGCAAAATGCCCAAAGTAAAAAGTTTCTTCTGGAAATGTTGTTCCAACACGTAAAGTCGGGAAAAATATGCTCTTACCAGATGCAATGCATCAGTTACAGCAACATTTCGGATAAATTACGGAAAGGTATGCATTTAATTATTCTGCAAGCAGAAAGTTGTTTTTTCATAAAGCGAGTTTAAAGTTATTTATTGGTCTATAAAGTCTCTTTAATAAAAAAGGGGTTAACAACGTACTTGTCATAATCAAATTATAAAGCTATAAAATTATATATGGTTATTAAGAGCAGTAACAGGTGAAATTTAAATTATTAAAATAAAGATGAAAATGTCTTGAAAAACTACCAAAATATCTTTATCTAAAGAAAAGCAGCTTAAAACCTAATTTAATGCATATTAGACTTTGCATTAAGGTTTAAAGATATGATTTTGTGCAGTATCCACTAGTTATTTGTAAACGATTTTGCAATCCAAAAGGCTTTGCCGCACACTGTAAACACGGACATGAAATGAATATCCCGCTCGCAGGCTTTGTGGGAAATCGACTGGGAAAAAGCCGAGCAAGCTGCTTGCGGGGCATGTGAAAAGAGTCGGAAAAGCGGAAAAGCAGCAGGCCCAGCTGTCAAAGGCACAGGTACAGCCGTGTGTCCGGGATCTGCATATAGCATATAGGAAAGGGACTCCGAGCTGCTGTCAGAGGAAGAGGCTCTCCAAAGTCGATGACGACAATGATGGCGGTGATGATGACAGCGATGGCGTGGCGGATGCGGTTTCCGTTTCCGGTTTGCGGTCCAAGGCTGGAAAAGCGTACTGCTCCCCAAGTACCCACATTGCCCACACTAAGCTGTGTCCATTTGCTGTTATCAGTCGTTAACATGTACAATTCGGCTTCGCTGCCTTTGGGAACATTTTCTGGTATTTGTGTATCCATTTTGTGTGTTGAAGTTTTCCCATTTAAATGCGACAACTTCCTGGCCCTTGAATTGACACTGGCCCACCAGTTCCGCACCGACCACTCTTGGCCCTCTGGGAAAAGTTGCTCGGGTGCATTTCCTGTTTCTAAATGTTGCATTTCCTCTGCTTCCCTGGACACTGGGCAAAGTTTTCGGGCTAAACTTATTTTGATGATTAAGTGGGCCAATTTCGGGTGCTAAGCCAATAAGCGTAGCTGCAGGGAAACGACTTTGCTGGCAAAAAGGTTTAGTTAAAGACCAAAACAAAGCCCCGAAAAGAAGCGCACATGGATATGCAATTATTTTCCACACTGGTTAATGCCTTAATTGCATTTTCCTAACGATGCTTGAACATCTCATATTTTCATTATTATTACTTTTTCAGCTCTGACAAAGAAAGAGGGTCGAAAATATGCACTCACACATGGACATAAACAAGAATAATCAAGAGAGAGCGAGGGGTGCCGGGAGGTTCGTCCAGTTTGCAGTTGCACCATGGCGTATACGTAATTTGCATTACAATGAACCCGACAGACCCCTTTACCCCCCTTAACCCCCCTCGCCATTCGTTCATAGCTGCAAGGTGTATAATTTTGATAGCAATTCTACAAAGGCCACAGGACTGCGGTTGGAATGGGGCACCATTGAGAATGGGGCCTGGAGATTGGGGATGGCTGGAAGATTGCAGGGGCTGGCTGAACGCTGCATTTCAATTGGAATAACAATAATTGTTTGCAGCAGCCACAGCAACTGGAGCCCCTCCCCACGCCTCCAAAATACCCCTCCACGCCCCCATTGTATCGCTTTGTTTTGTGGGTTGGCAATTCTTGCTCTTCTGGCGCTTTCATCTCCTCAATTTCTCCCCCCACTTTTCCCGGCATTCGCATGGAAATGGCAGGAGCGGATGTTGAGTGTCAGTGACTGCCACGCCCCCATTTGAGTGGCGCCTCCCCAGACCGGCTATCTAACCTTTTGTTGCTCGGAAAACCACTTGGATTCAGTCCAACACATACGAATGCACAGAAAGTTTCATGAGCAATTAAATATAATGCAAAACAAATAAATTTAAGTAGCTGAATGTGAAGCAATATTTTATTTAGTAATTTATAATGCTACAAAGGAGTAAATTTAGTGTTGTTATATTAAATACGAATGTGAAATGTATCCTCTTTTTTAATATTAAGTTCAAAAGTTCTTTGAATTTGGCACAAGGTTAATGCTAAGGTAACTAATATACAAGGTCATAAATTAAATTTAATTGGAATTTCACTTTTAATATTTAATTAAGAGCATTAAAATATTTTCAATTTAAAGAGTTACTAAATATATAATGGCTTAAAGTATTTATAAGCAATATAATTAGTAGGAAAACGCCAACCAGCGATTTTAAGTTCCTTTCGCCTCTCAATAATTAAGTATCTTTAAGAGATATGCTAAGTAAGTTCTTTTAAATGTCACTTAATCGGACTTAAGCAGTTTATCGCGCTTATTCTGTAGCAGCTCCCCTCCTAACCCCGCTTAACCCTTTGCTTACCTCTGGCTGCGAAAATGTTTTTCCGCACTTCACGCTCTAAGTGATTTTCAATTATGAAGGCGACAGATGGGGAAGGAGGTTCGCTGGGGGGAACTACAATAACTGAGGGAATCGCAGGGACTGGAGACAAAGTTTCACCTGCCGAGGGGAATGCAAAAAATGTCTTGCATAAAAAGTTTTTAATTGCCATGTGCTCTTGGCCAAAAAAAGAACGAGTCGAAGGGGGAGCTGGCTTGTTGCAGTAATTAGTTGGGCCCGTGCTTCAAGTTGCGAATTACGCCATAATTATGCACAGCCAGCGACACTCTGAAGGAGTTGACTGAGCCATCAAGGGCTCACTACCCGCACCCTCTGGAATTCCCCCCCTCCCCACCGAACCTCAGGCATCGCAAAGTCTAACCACAACAATTGGCCAACAAGTTGTCGCTGGTCAACAGTTCGCACAACATAAGCCCAGAAAAAAAGGATACAAAATATTTGCTTAAAACATTAAGTTGGTCCCCAGCAAGGAATCGAGCTGGAACGTGTGAAAGTGTAACGGTTTGAGTGGAATGCAATGGTGGCAGGAGTGGAACACTCCGTTTCTCTCGGGAAAAGGACTCGTCGAAGAGCAACAAGATGGAACAGTCGCCGGCAATTGCAGCTGCCTTGTATTCTTGGACTCCTGTATTCTGGTCATAGACCATTTTCCACTATTGTTATGCCAGATTGCTGATGATGGGTGGCGGAGTGGCGACAGAGAGGGGGGGTGACAAGGACGACAAGGGTTGTGGGCGGGGGGGGGGTTGGACGGACATGACTGATAAGCGTGGCAGCGACGCTGTCAAAGGTTGTGATTGATGCACACAGGTTGTAGCTGCTGTCAGGACAGTGGACATTGAATGCGAATGACTATCAACTGCAATTGAGACGTGTCCCGAAGGACAACAAACTAAGTGCCGACAGGTTAATAGTGATTACCATTAATCTAGTGCAATGCAAATTTATTTATTATTTGGTACATACAGTTTAAATTTGGAAAAGAAGAGAGTCGGAGATTGGCCAATATACAAAAATATATCATTTAAAATATTATAACCTTTAACATCAAGGTTATGTTAAAACAAAAAATCTGAAGAAGCATTTGTGGCTCTCTTGTGTTTGGTTTCTTATTCCTTTTTCCCATTTCTTATTGTTTTTTGAGCTCAATCTTTAACAAATACAATTAATTCGTTCGTTTGATAATCGAGATATTAGAAACTATACAAAGAGCCACCATATTTATTACGCAGGCTTATGTAAAGTTTATAATTTTGTGATCAATGTTCAAAGTCAATTAATATTTATGAAAAGTACTTACTAAAGGCTATTTTATTAAGCTAAAAAATAAAGTCTAATTTGTTAAGGTGATATGATATCCAAGCATGATATCTAAGCATTAAAGTTTAAAAAACCATTTAGAAAGTTTCTCAGAGCCCATTATGTTGGGAAAAATTGTATACATATGTTCAATACGGTGGTACTTTGGGGGTACATTTTGTATATTTTTTACTGCTGATATTCCTCACCTTTACTTTTTGTTAGGACGAAATGTTGGAAGCTCCACTGTACTATAATTGCTGTTGGTCTTTCACCTTTGCCACTGTCAGCGCACTAACTGTAAACGATGTTTTCTCGATGAAGCTCAACTGCACTTGCACATGCACACTCACCTGAAGACACCGCCATTCCGACACATCCGAGAAAACCGACGGAAGAAGTGTGTGCGTGTGTTGAGCCTCGGTTCTCGGCAGGCGGTTTGTTTTCCTCTGTGGCACTAATGTCTTTTTCTTGCTCTTTTTTGCCTGCCCACTTGGCCTGTGGCACTTTGTCAATTCACAAACAAAAACGAATTGCACACAGGATTATCGAAGAACACACATACGCACAGGTGTACTTTTTCACTTTGCATTTCATGGTGCTGTTTTTTATTTCTTGGCCAAACAGCAGGAGGCCTTTTCAGAAGTGTGTGCACTGAGATGTAGGTGAATAATTCTTTTTATAAGTAAAAAGTGTAAAATACTCCACAATAGTTTTTCAGCCACTCAAGTTTAAGCGCTGTTTAAGGTATATTTTAATATTTATAGAATTTCTAGAAACAAACTTATACAGCGCACAGTAGAATATTTCTAGTAGAACTACTTTTTGTGACAGATCTAAGCATCCGTTAGTCAAAAGTAATATTTAGTGTGATTCATTTTTTAGTCTGCAACAATATATATATTTTGGAGTTCAAAATGGAGGAGGAGCCGTTGGCCCCCATTGAGGTGCAGAAGAAACCATGTGGCGGGATCACTCCGCCGCCCATTTACCAGAAGCTGATGGTGGAGAACCTGACCGTCATCCGACCGCCCATCCTGAAGATCTACTATTGGGAGAGCTTCGACATACCGGGGTGGGATGTGAATTGCGTCGATGCGAGGTTGCACATATTCTGACCTTTCCTTTTGCCCCATCCAGCCTGAACAGGAAGCTGCGCTCGAACAAAGCAGAGCATGAGCACACGATCTCGATCCCCATCCGCCAGATCCACAGCCAACCACTGAAGATCGTCTACTGGCTGCGCAACCTCTCGCCGAGGAAAGCTACTCTAACTCTGAAGCGGATCCAGAACTGCCAATGCCAGCCGCTGAAGACCCAAGTCGGATTCAACCAGTTTCGCCAACTATTCCACTGTCCACACCGCAGACTGATCCACATCAACCAGGAGATCCTGGCCATCAAACCAGACGAGGTGGTGGCCCTCACCGTCACGGCCTTCTTCTTCCTCTACGGCGAACACCTTCTCACCTACGAAGTCCTGTAAGTCATCACAGAAAGTAGCAGATCACTTTCAACTTGGCTTTGTGGCACTTGCATCTTATACTTTATTTTGTATGGAGAAAGATGTACTTTAAATTTTAGTTCGTAAAACACTTGGAAACAAATTGTTTGCTTTAACGCATTTTCATACGGAAAATAACTTTTCAAAAACATTACACAAAAAATATTGGACACTTAAAGCCCTCGAGTAACAAACATGTTTTGATTATCTGTGTTCTAAATGCTTGTAAAAACGGCAACCATAAGTTCAGCATTTTTCGATTTTATTTGAACTGTATATCTGTAGTTAAAAAAGCATTTTTATGAGTGTTTAAGTGCCAATTTAATCAATTTAATTACAATTTTACAATTTTTTAGCACTGAAGACAAACGTAAGTTCCTTTGGCATTTCCATTTGGAGATCTCCGCCTTCGATCCCGAAAAGTGTCTGCTCACCAAGGAGCTGCTGCCGGTAAACATAAAAAACTATTACCATGTGACCCAGCCGTTATGGGTGCAGAACATCACGATGTCCCACCTATCGTTCTCCTTCGCTTCGAGGGATCGCGGTCTTAAACTGCTCAATATGAATCTGACCGTGCCGCGCCAGAGTGTGTGGCCCCTCCTGGTGGACTACCGACCCCTGGACTACGAAAATGAGGTAACTACTTGGAACTGAAATTAAAACAGAATATTAAACGAGTTTTTTGAGTGTATAATGATTTGCAATATCTCTTGCAGGCTGAGATTGTTATGTCCTACGAAAATGCCAAAGCTCGCTACAAGATCAAGGCGCGAGGGGTGCTCATAGATGAAAAGGAGCAGACGGACATGCCTTTGAAGGAACGCGAATGCGCCGACTTCCTGCACGTCATCTATCCCAACAGGCTGAGCTTCGAGGTCTGTCTAAGGGAAGAGCGGACGCAGCTCGTCAATGTCCACAACTACGGACAGAAGTGCATGGAGTTCCGCTGGCAGAGGTGAGTTGCAAACAAGTTTTCTTTAGAATTTATTGCGGGTAGGAGTAGTTATACATAACCAGTTGAAAATTGTTTTATAAGCTAGAAACATATTATTCTCAGAAACTAAATTTGTATATCACACAGGGCACAATTTAATTTTATAATGTAACTGGAAATGAAAGATCTTTTTAAGTATTTAGTCCATTTAAAATGGTTTCTGTCTAAAGAACCAATTCTACATTCTAGACTAGCATTCCTACGGCTGCCAAAACTTTAAATGATGTAAAATAAGACAAGACTGTATTTTATCCATGAATGTATTTTCAGCTACATAATCAACGAGTTCTTCTCGGTGGTCTTCAACCCACCCATTTTCCGCCTCAAGGCGCACCACTCGAAGCTGTGCGAGATCAGGGTGTCGGTGTTCGATCGCCTGGTGCACTTCCGGCGCATTCCCATCGTGCTGGAGGTGCACCGCATCCTGGACCGCGCCACCCTGATCGCCAAGCAGGAACTGGAGGAGGTCGAGTCCATCGATGATCCCAAGTGGAAGGAGGACAGCTACTTGGAGCACGTCTATCTGCACCTGAACATCCGGACGAACGTGAAGCCAGCGTTGGACACCGCCGAGGAGTTGGAGCCCGGCGATAAGATTGATCCCACGGCAGGTCCAGATCCCTGTGCTCAGTTTGGTCCTGGAACTCCTCCCAGTGGAGTGGGATCGGGAGATGCTCCTACGCCAACCCCTTCGCTGACCGAGGAGCAGCGCAAGGAGGCCGAACGCAAGGAGCTGATCAACCGTCTGGTCGCCAAAAACAAGCTCAATCCCAACGAGGTCATCGAGCTCAGCATGGCCATTGACCAGAGGATCACCATTTTCGAGAAGCTCTTCTGGAAGTATCTCAGCAAGTCCAGGTTCATGCGCATCAATTCCGAACGCAGGCGGCAGAAGGTGGTCAAGACCTACGAGCAAGTGGTTTGCCTGGATGAACCGACGCCCCCGGAGATAACTACGGATATAGATCGAAAGTAAGTGGTTTACCTTTTCAGTTAGTTCTCTACATTGAAGAGATGGTTGGCCTTTTTAAAACATAAAACTTTTTAACATTTTAAATAAAGAACTCAAACTATAACTTAAGCAGGAAGATCATTTTGGCATTTCCAGTTTTTTTTTAACGTAACTTTTTAACGAACTAAAAATAATTTTTGTTTGATCTTAAAATGAGGTATTTAATCCAACCTAAAGTTGAAAAATATTCCGTATTTTTACATCTCATTTTTAATAAATTATTAGGTAACAAAAATAACTAATAAAACAAAATTAAAGTCAGTAAAAAATATTAAGAGGCTTAAGATTCAATATCCTTTAAAACTTTATAAAATAAAAGATCAATACTAATTCCGTTTATTTTTATAACTCATTATAAATTGTAATACATTTTTCTTCTATTCCAGCCACATCATAGATATATTGTCCCGACTGATGCAGGAGGCCATCAACGACTTGGCCAAGAACTGGGTGTTCATCCCGTCGCAGTACTACGAGCGCAACCATTAACTGTTCCCACCGTTAACTAAAAGCTTTGCAATTGCACCACCAATGTTACGCCTTAATTTATGTAAGACTTCGCACGAGTTGAGGACCAACGCCTTTGCTTTCCGTTACGAACGTTTGGCCGGATTTATGTGTCTGCATGAAGGCTTTTAGGGTTTTCCACGCAGACAGGGGGCGTGGCAGGGGGCGGTCTGTAATGGTCAGACGGTTAAACGCGAGTATTTATGTTTAGCGTTTGCTTTTAGTTTGTGTGGGAATATTTGCAAGTGGTTAAATACTCGCCAATTAAGATTCTTATAATTGTCGCTTGAGTAGCCTTATTTTCTAGGTTGGTTAATTTGGGGTACTACTATTGCTAAATTTTGTAGTATTTAGAATTGAGTAATAAATTTGCTCTGGCCAATAAAAATAAAAACTTAAATATACACAAACAGTGGTTTTTAATAGGCTGATACACCATCCAACTTCACAGAAATGTGTTTGAACGCGACTTTTATCACACTCTGGATTTATTAAGAAATAAAATATATTATAAGTTATTTATTAGTCACAAGTGTATTTTATTATTTGTATTTAAGACAAATTATTAAAAATTGAAATTTCTATTATAAATAATTTGGTTAATAATAATTCAGTGAATAGCGACCTAAAAAGCGACACCTATCTCTAACAGAGCGAACTTCCAGGTAGTGTTGGCTAACTCGCAGTTGGTTAATAAGCCGGGACACCCTCTTATCTTAGCCAATACACACTCCACACTTAGTGAGGACAGCCACTGCACTTATCGATAGTTCAGTGATGTTATCAGCCTTGCTGGTTTTAAAATATCAGAGATCTGGCAACTCTGTGATACTATCGCACCAACATCGATTTTTGTTCCATCTCTAACCGCGTCACTTTTCGATTTAAAATAATTGAAAACGTAAATTTGAGCATGCAAATCGAACCAAATTGTGATAAAAACTAGGAAACGCAGGCCAAAAAAGCAGTTACAGAGGTAGTCACTTAACCAGCATTCGAGAGCACCTGGAATTTTGAGATCGCAAGAAGCCGCCTTCGCCGGTTCAAAAAAAAAGAGACGCCGAGTTTCGCAGCGCGCACTCCGCATTCCATTGGTGGATAATTCCGCGAAATACCAGCAGGCACAGGCAGGATGAGCAAGGACATCTACTACTCGGACAAGTACTACGACGAGCAGTTCGAGTACAGGTGAGTGGTGCCCACAAGCCGATAAGTGGATGATGTGAAGCAACTGTAAAAACCTCCCTTTCCCCAGACATGTGGTTTTGCCGAAGGAGCTGGTGAAAATGGTGCCCAAGACGCATCTGATGACGGAGGCCGAGTGGCGGTCCATTGGTGTGCAGCAGTCGCGCGGATGGATCCACTACATGATCCACAAACCAGAGCCCCACATCCTGCTCTTTCGGCGCCCCAAAACGGATTAGCCGGTAGCAACAACAACTGCAGCAGGGGCCCTCGCCGATTCACATACCCCTAAACTCCCAATGTAGCCTGTAGCACATACCTATATATCCGGCAGCTGCTGCCGATATTCTGTATTGGCGGTGGTGGTGGTTGCTGCGGAATAACCAACTGTTGCACAAACATCCACAACAACATCATCATCATCATAGGTACTCATGCACGAATCACCTAGAAACTACTTTTTGTGCTGTGTGCTTCGTAATACACATTTTAAATATGTTTTCCCCGCTATAAACTGTCCTTACCTCCTACCTATAAATGTAGCACCTAGAGCTAATGCTAAGTTTGCCATTTTCACACACCTTAGTCCTGGGGAATGGGAGTATTCCATATTCATTCCTCGTTCTCACGCGCATTTTACCATATTTTATGTTGCCATTTCGAAACGGAAGCGAAAGAAGATTTTGCTCACTTTTTATAAGCTTAAATGAAATCTGATTTGTGATCTTGAAATTCTTAATCAATAATACATATGTTTACACATAATATAATGAACTTAAAATAAATATGTTTAATGTATGGAGAAGCTTGAGGCGTTGATTGCTTGAAGTTTTCCCAAATCGAAAAAGTCTTTTTTACTTAATAAGTTTTGGAGAAAGGTTATAGCTAAAAAGCAAAGAATGCGTCCAGGTCAAAGAGTAAAGTAAGTATGTTAAATATGGATTTATATTAAAATTTTAAGTAATTTTTATACGTTTGATTTTCAGACAATCAATGAATCCTGTCCATCTGATTGGAATTTGATATTTGGGCGTCGAGATAAAAATTGATATTGACGTATAGGTAAATATCAACTAATTAATTTTAACAATTTATTGAAAATGATTACCAAAAGTGGTTAACCACTGTAAAAATTATTCTAAAAGTAAAGACAATATTTTATAAACCCATGGTTTTAGGTACAAAGAAACATGCTAAACTAAATATTATTAGGCGACATAAAGAATGTACTTTTATTGAATATGATTTTCCAAACCAAATTGATTACTGATGCTCCATGAACGTGTTGCATATATATTAATATTTGTACTACAAGTAACAGCTCTACTCGTGGAAGTTTTACTGTATTTTGAAACTATGAAATTATATTTCAATCCAAAATGGCTAGAGCTGGTTCCAACTCGATCGTTTCTTGAGCCCCCTCGGACGGCTCATCCTCATTACGAGGCACTTTCCGAATTAACTTGGGTCCACCAACACCGACGAGTATCTAATTATTTAGTTATTTATATACCACAACATAGCAACACACCGTGTGTGCAATTTCCAACCTCAACACTCTGTACTGGTGTGTGATTTTTGAAATTTCCAGTGTCAAAAATGAAGATCGACAGTTCCGGTCCGAATGTGTGTGTTGTGCCCATGGGCAGCACCTCACCTCTCCACATGAGAAAGCGGTGACCCATGCATCCGAAGGGGCAAAGCCGGTGTGTTGGGGAGATCGCATCCCCGAGTGCCGCGCTTAGGGACTACGGGACTACTAATCGCTGTCAACTGTGGCCCGCCACTTAGCAGCATCCCATCCTCCGGCCTGCTCTTCCGCAGTTGGAGCATACCACGCTCATTTCCCACCAGCATGGAACTGGAACTGGCCCCCAAGGCAAATCGAATTGAAGCAGATCAAAGGCAGCTGCAGCTGTGATGATGCTGCTGATTTTTATTGCTTTATTTCTACTGCTGATATTTATTATGGTACGAATATGAAACCGGAAACGCTCGACCAACATTTTCGGTCAGCCTAGGACTCTGTTCCACTTTCTTGTCGGCTCCCTTAAATTCCTGGCCTTTGTATTCCGGACACACTCAATCAGGTTCAAGTAGTCCATAGTTCTGGCCATTGTTCGCGGGTTTTTTCGGGGTGGTTTGTGGCGATCTTTAACAATATGAGGTGTAATCATTTCTGGAATTGGGTATTGCACAAACTTGACCCACTTTTAGGGCGTACTCGTTGTGACATAATAATAAACCAGATCTAAACCGAATCTTGCTTTCTTTTATAATATAGTACAGAGGACAGCCTTGAGCAGCCAGAGAATGCCCTGATTGCTATTAGCCACAATGCAAGGATGATCAGTGCGGTTCGCGTACAATGGAGCCACTAATGGGAAGGAAGTAATCGAAAGTAGATGGCAAGATGCTGAACCAACATAATTAGTTCCTTTCACTGCACTCCTCGCAGCAAGGGAAAGCGAAACAAGGCGCGACAAATTACGCGGCCAACGCTGCGTATGCGTTACGTGAAATGCGATGAGCTGAGAGCAGCGCAGTCGGCAGCGACGGCGACATCGGCAGCGGCTTTTGATGAATGAAAGTCAACCCCCCAAACACACACACACCCGCAACACAGATGCCAACGTCAACGTCGCTGCCGCCAAGCAATTTGCGCGGTAGCTGGCTATATTTCGAATTTGATTTCGATTTAGTTTCTAGTACTGTTTTACAAACCGACGAGTCAGGTTCTACTGCCCGCTGCAAGCAGAGCCGACCAGACCAGATCGGAACCGCAATCGGAATCGGTGTGTGGGATCACTGCCTGATCACTAGTCAGTTGCCATTTCGCCGCGTGCTCGGGACAACGCGCTCCTCCGATCCTCACCCAGTCGATTCGGGCTCGTGCCTGAAGGGTTCTTAAATACGCCGGGAGTTATACTCAGCCTGCGGCACTTGTGAATGCTTTTGATTGTAAGTGCTCGGACGATTGCTACGGCAGATGAAAACCATTAAAATTTGCATACGCAGTTGTTAAGAAAACAGATATCAACAGACATTTTAATTGACTCTAAAAGACAATGTAATTCTTATTGCATCCTGTGCAATATATTGCATCCTGTGTTTAAAAAATTATATTGTGTATTCTACAAAGGACGCAAAGGCTTAAATATGTGGCACTATTCTCAATATTTATTTGTTTCCAAGTGAGTGTCCCTTGTAGAGAGGGAACAACCAGCCCAAATTTTGCAGCTGATATGCTGCCCTGTAAAATCATTTTTAATAGGATTTCTAGGAATCTTGATATTCTATAATTAATTTTTTTCAAATTTTTTCAAATAACATTTGTTTTTTGTAATATTTTTGTTCTATCAAACCATTAATAAGATGTGAATTAATATTATGTGTCACGATTTGATACATTGGAAGTGAGTTGACAGAAATACGAAATCGAACTTAATGTATTTACCTAAATTATAAATTAGCATCAGAAAAATACGATGTTGGGCAATTATAGTATTGATTTCTTACAAAATGAAACACCTTATGTTTTCAATATTCTTCAAAAGGGATACAAAGCAGTCGGCTTCCCATATTCTCTCATTTATTTACTTGTAATCTCATCGATTTACTCTTCTTGAGAGCCAAGGGAAAAGCGTGAATAATTTCCGATTTCTAATGCTGATAAGATACTGAACAACCGTTTGAATAACCTTGGTAGAACACCCACCCATTTTTGCATAGACGGAGGCTTGTCAGACAGTTTACGCTTTATGCATGTTTTGCTTTCTTTTTAATTATTTTTATTTATAGCGCACAAAGCACGATGCACCGAAATAGTTTTATCTTCTCTCTTGCTGTTATAATGAGAAAATGAGGGAATAGTGTGACTTGTAAACATATAATTCCTAAGGGGATAAGTAAATAAACAAAAATATTTGCCAAATTGTAAAATCTTTCCTCGCGCATTGGCAACATTTTCTCACCTAAATAAAATATGTTTAAATGACGGGCGCGTGGAAAAATGTTCGAAAAAACCCCAATAAATGGCCGTTCTTATCGAGAATGAATCAGTTTGATCTTAAATCTTATTTATGAATATCTGGAATTGTACCCACGTGCTCATCGCCCTTTAAATCCGAGTTTCTGATAAGGTGAAACTTGATGGAAAAGCTGGGCTGTCGTTTTGAGATAGACAGACATACAGTCTATAGATTAAGGCGACAAAGGCCGTCGGATGACTCGAGATTATAGCGTCATGCATATTTATGCATGATTTCATACCCATTCCTAATCATCTAACACAAATTAAAGGCTAGACCTCAAATAAATATATTGATTTCGCTATTGAGAGTTTTTTACTTTATATAAAATTATTTCCTCATTTCATAAACACCTTATTTTAAAGAAATACCTTTTTTTTTAAACAGTGTCTATATTAACGTTGTTGAAAAATAGAATACAAAAAAATGTATTACAATTTTGTAATGTCGGAGCTGTGAACAGACAGATTGTCTGCAATTCAGTGGCAGTTTCAGTTTTAAACATTGAATTATTGGTATATCTTTGATGTCTCGCCATCATCATCCCATAAATAAAATTATTTTTAAATCGTATTTTAAAATCAAAATGTTTTTTTACGTGCACTTTTAAACTTCCATGGCTTTAAATATGAAGTTTAGTTATTACATTTTTCAATGGAAATGCAAATAAATCCATAAAGGTAATTGTTGTTTTAACATCAATCTAATAAATGGTGATAATAACTTTAATAGCACTAACACATTAACAATTTTCAGTTAGGTTCAGATCAGCTTAAACTGGTTCTGCTCAGGCGCGTTATTAACAAATTTCCTCACATCGAAGACAAGTGGGTGGGTCAACCTTCTACCCCTCGTACATCCCCTTTGTCTGATCCAACCCCCGCGAAATGCAAATCAATTTGCATTGACAATGAATTTGCTGGTCCTCGAACATGGGCTCTGAGTTCAGTTTGCATTGCATTAATTAGCTGGGTAGTAAAAGTATTCCTATGTTATATAAGGCATAGTCTAGCGCGTTAATTAGTATGCATCTCTGGATATATATTTGTGTTTGACTATCAACAATAATAAACTTGTTCAGCATTTGTGATCATGTAAACTGTCTGCCAATCAAATATGGCAAAGAGATGACTCCGATAAATACCTAGAAAATATTTTTTAAATGAAAAATATTTCTTATTCAAACCTCTGGGAAATATAGGTCTAGTTAACCATCAATTAGAGCTTTGGGTCTCGCTAATCAAGACAAGTTCAAGTTCACCCTCGATCACGTTGGCGTGAGTGCTAAATTGGGTTTTAGGTTACCAGTTAATTGTGATGATTTGTCCAACGACGGGCTGACTTCCGTTTGGTGTGTAACCCATCCTTTTGTCAATGAACTTGAATTATTCTACCGTCCGCTGATCAATGAAACTTCCTGCATATGTTGCAATTGATATTCAATGGCATCTGCGACACAATTTTAACAAACTACACATATTTACAGGGAATGCAATTTGTGCCTACGGCTGTTTGTAAACAAATTCATTCACGGCCAAGTTCAAAATAGAAAAATATGAACAAATAACTGCATACATAAATAAGTGTATACCAAGACAATTCAATTAAATTCGAACGCGGCTTAGTAAATAAATTAATTTAGTTGATCACGAGTGCAGCTGCATTCCAAGTGCACTCTAGTTCCGTTTTATTTATTAAATTGATTTCTTATCTGTGAAGAGTACATCCCACCTTTAAACAGAAGCGACAAACTTAAACGTTTCGCAAATTAAACAATTGAGATAAACACCCCTTAGTTTTGAATGCTTTTACGTGG